CTCCGGCACAGCTCGGCCGTCCGTCGGCGAGCCTCACCTGAGAGCCGCTTGAGGGCGTTGGTGCGCCGCAAGTGGTGTCCCTCCGCCAGCTCGATAGCCTTGGCCTCGACCGGGTCACTGACCACGCGGCCGCAGCTGCCCGTGAAGTCCATGGCCACCAGCGAACGCATGCTCTGCTGCCGGGCGACAACAAACAGACACGGGGTCAGAGGGCGGCGCCGGGCGACGCCCCCTCCCCCTTCCTCCAGCCTCCCTCGCCCATCAGCGCTGACGGGGGGCGCGCCCGTGTGCGGTTTATGGACACGGCAATGGACCGCGCTGGCCGGACTTAGCGGGAGCACACATCAGGCTGCACTTGGCGCGTCACTGACACGCTGCAGCGGATCGCCGTCCACCGAGGCGCGTCATTTCCATGAAGATGAATGGGCGATCTTGGCTGCTGCTGCTGCCAGTTCACACAAACGAGGGAGGGTTGAAGCGAAATGGTAACGCACCGTACAGACAGACAGCCTACGGCTACAGGGCATACTAGTTCGAGATCGGCCCAATATCGGGCCTCAGTTTTCCGGCGTGTTTTTCTTGAAGATGGCAGGACGCTCGGATGATCGTAGTTTTCGGAACTCCTGTCAGACGCAAACAACCCACACCCCACAGACGGAGCATGCTTGTGGGGCATGTCATATTGCATGGCGGCTTTGCATTCCCTCGGGGTGTGCCGTTCACGGTCCAGAGCGTCACGTTTCGCATTAATGACACCGTTCCGTCGCGGTGCTTCGTGGCAAGGCTCGCACGAACAAGCTAGGGGCATGACTGATGGTCTCACTTTTCAGAAATGACCTAATTCAACAGCAATGTCGACACCTGGGCGAATCAATGAACGTGAATGCCGGCATGCGCACAAGCATGACACGAAAAGAATGCGTGAGTATGCCAATACTATTTGTTCCGTGATTTATAGACGCATGAAGCTGCTGTAACGACCGTTACCGTGGCCCGTCACGACACCAGCCCCGACATGACTAAGGCACGCCACGTGCACACTACCAACCGGAAACTAACTCTAGCCTCTACCAGGCGGAGCATCCGGTGGGATTTCGGCATTCGCATTTTGGAATGAGTAAAGGTATGCCGATATTATGTAAGGGAATTCCGAAATCTTACAGGACATCCAGTTCGCTTCCTGGTGAATTTACGGTGGTCATACCATGTTCACGTGAGCTGTCTGCTAGAATGCCAATCAAAAGAATGCAGTTTCAGGAGTTGGCATAATTGTTGCTAATCGCAGAAAATTTGTAACATTTTACCCTACAAGTGCAAGTTAGGCAGGCTTAGGGGTTTGCACCCAGCGGAAAATGACTTAGCCAATGGTGGGAGGTTACCGTATTTACTTCTGATTTTCGGGAATCTTGTTTGCCAGTCATCGGTCTTTCAGTGCATTTCAGCAAAGTGACTGCCGCAAATACGTGCGAAGTTTGGTATACGGCTCTGACTCTCGTGACGCCATTCCTATCCTATCGTCGCTTTGCACGTGCTATTTCCGCAGCGATGTCCTCCAGCCCTTGTTCGGAGAGCGCAGTACACCGATGCACCGGCGCACCGGAAGCGCACGCCACTGGGATGGCTCGCCTGGATTGCGGGCTCAGTATTTAACTCATGACAGCGTTCCTCCTGGCATGATCTGAGCTACTTGTATTAACTACAGCATATTTCTCGTTACATGGACGATTCATTTGGAAGGCTTTAACTAATCCCGGTTTAATATGCATTGCTAGTTAATTGTTTTATGTTCCGTTGACAGTGGCTGCTTTCGAATATTTATGGACCTTTTCGCAAACCACTGGAATGATCCTGGACACTCAATTGCTGGTTTCCATATAATATATCCATATATCCACATCGCCAAGTCCGAGCATCGCTAAGAATGGCAAAATATTCCGCACCTGTATGCTCAAGACTAGTGACAGCGCGAAAGACCTCAGCCGTTACATACAGTCAGTCATCGACCCATCAGTCGATAAGTCACCAACAACAGCCCGGGTTTATCCGGCTTTCTAGCCATTGATCAGACACAGGGGTACCGTGGCTAGGGTTCCAATGTTCCGGCTAAAACTTCATGTCTGAGCCATATATATATATATATATATATATATATATATATATATATATATATATAACGTTCTTCAGCATTGGCTTTACTGGTGTGCATCGCAATGCCCGAAAGCCTGGGAGAATGTTTTGTCCGAATTGCCCTTTTCTGATGACACATATCGCCGATAAATGACGGGTCCGCCAGTTGAACTTTGGAGGCCGTGACCCATGATTCACGTATGACCCATGGCCCAGACCATGATGAAATGATACATTTCGTAATGTTCAACAGTCAGTGTTGTATGTAAAATGTCCTTTCTACAAGCGCACCGCCCACATTAAGTTCTAAACTTAGCATCACCGGACTCCGTGCCGCTCAAGCAAGTATCTCAGTTCGCCTAGCCCACTCCAGCCTGCGATGAGGCGGTGCCATCGCTTTGCCGACCATCCCCTCCGCCAGGCCATCTCATCGCCGGCTCTCCCCTCCTTTTCCTCTTCCAGGCAATCGCCTGCTTTTCCCCATGGCTACCCTAGAACTCTCAGCGGCTTTCCTCCGCATTACCACATTTTCGACGTCTCCCCTCGTCTCTATCTCTCCCTATCCACCTCTACCTCTATTCTCATACTCCCTCTCTGCCCACCTCTAGCGCTATCCTACCTGACACTGACTCGAGCCGAGACGACTCGGGTGCGGCCCAGACTGACTCACGTTGGGCACGCGCACCGAGTCGTACTCGGCCGGCCGGACGGACGAGGCACGCGGCAGGCTGCCGCCGCCGCCGCCAGCGCCGCCACCGCCGCCGCCGCCCTGTAGTCCAGCGTTGGAGAGCGTGCGGGAGCGGGGGATCGGCATCTTGGGGCTGGTGGAGTAGCAGTAGCGTTCGCGAGGGCTGCTGCTCTGCTCGTTCTCGTGCTGTATCCGCTGGAAGTTGTAGTTCTCGTGCAGCTGCTTGCCGTACTGCAGGTGTGGGGGGGGGGGGCAAGGGGTCAAGCTTGATACGGCTGTATGTCGTAGCGGCATAAATGTCACAACGCATACTCAACAATGCCAAATAATCCCTGGCGCTTGCTTTTTACAAGAGCGCATTGATCGCTATGAACAGAATGTCCCCGGGCCGATGCTATTACTGGTCAACGCTTTATTGGCATTACCTTGGCGACACGCAGCGCGGTCTGCCAACAGCGGCGCGTGGCCAGATCGTCGCAGGCGAGGCAGCGCAGCTGCTGACCCGTGCGCAAGATGACGGCCTCGTCGCAGGGCGCCTTAAAGTCACGCCGGGCGTCCGAGCACCCGTACACGGCATAGTTCTGCAGGTGCGCGAACACGGCGAACTTCTCCGGGTCACGCACCGGAGAGTCCTGGCGGATCAGGTCAGGTCAGGTCAGGTCCGGTCGGGTCAGGCCACGACACAGAACGGCGCCGCTCACCAGAGCGGCCCTGCCAGTCGGAGGCCGGACCACCGCCAGCCGCCAGCAGTGTCACCCGGGATGGGCCCCACGCCACTGACGGACGACAGTCGGCAGGCGGGCACCGACTGAGCGCCGGCGACGCTCAGTCAGGGTGCAGTCGCGCCTCCCGACGCAACGGCGCTTCGCCACAGATCCGATTTGGGAGATGTGACTCATCAAATTATTTACGAGAAAGGCATCGATTCGCAAATTGCATACCTTCTTCTGTCATCAATCTGAAGAGCAGGCCTTACACTACCCGGGGCAAAATCTCGCGCAAAAACGATGTTGGCAAAAAACGAATGCGTAGCATTTCTGAGCCCGCCGGAACATAAGTGATCCTTCCAACTGCCCTATGGGGCGAGTTGGAACGTCGGGGCGCCGTGTTAACGTCAAAGGCGGCGGGTGGCAACTTCGCCCATATGGCGGTGGTGACGTCACTGACATCCGCGCCACCCCCGTTACGCCGCACCCCACTCGTCGCGACACGTATAAACACCGGCAAGAGTCACGACTGCAGCGCCGCGGTGCGGCGAACATGCGCGACCCGTTCCGAGATGGCGCGCGCCTCACCGCCGGCGACTTTGCGCCGCACGCTGCGGTGGCGTCTCTGACTGCTCCCCGCACCTACCCTCCCCAGCGGCAGCGACGGGGGTTGTTGGCGTGACGGTATGGTTTGCCTTCGGTCTAGTGCGGACAGACGAAACAAACGATTACTGGGATGCCGGCCAGTTAGTCGAGGGGAAGGGATATTCGTCATGTTTTTTATCGACATAAGATTCACTCCTGCGGAGATTGCACCATAAGCCACTCGTTTGTGTCTGATAGCTCTCTCCCGCCGTGTCCAGCTCCAGGTCTAAAGTGATCACTGCCGGGCCTACGGTAGACTACAGTCAGCAGGGACGGCGCCGCGGCCTCGAAGATGGATGACCTGGCTGACAAGCGATGGCGTGGCTTGTCCACGTTAGGCATGTCAGCCCGTTATTTGTTGGTGAGTTAGCGGGTTGGGACAACATCACGAGAGGGGTGCGCTTACGTCCATGGCCTCCATGGTGTAGTAGAGACAGTCGTGACGCAGCCAGAAGTAGGCGCGCCGCCAGACGCGCGACTCGGGGCCGGCCAACCAGAGCCAGCCGAACACCTGCGGCGTCGGAGCCGACGTCGTCAGCAGGTTCTGAAACAGAGCACCGTCCGGTCAGGTCAGGTCAGGTCAGGTCAGGTCAGGTCAGGTCAGGTTAGGTCACGCCGGCGCGACCGTCCAGTCCAGCGTGCTGTCAATGACGGCAAGAAGGCAGGAGGCGTCCACATCGACCGCATCGCGGGCAACCAAACAGCAAGCAATACAAGAATACCAGCTACCCCACACGTAGTGTATGTGCACAGCAGTAGGAGGCCACCAAACTATCGTACTTCACACAGCCTGCTTTAGCACATTGCGGTCGGTCGTATTCGCATAAGGGCCACACTGATAGACCAAAGGGAATGAACGCGTCAGGCGACAGGAGCATGACGAGCTCGCAAATCAGAACAGATAACCACTGAGGATGGTCTCCCCAGGCGGCCAAAACAGACCAAATAAAGCCAACACAACACAAGTCGTAATGCTGCAAATACCGCCAGAATCACATGTTGGGACAGCACCAGAGTTCGGCGAACACAGATGAACCATAATTTGATGATTCGAGCCGCGAAGGGGCTCGGCTGAACTGAACCGTCCACCTCCCGTGAACTCCTGCATGTCCCGTGTCCATGACATCAACACTGACGGTCAGGCGGAGGGGCTCGGCTGAGGTGAATTGTCCACCTCCCGTGAACTCCTGCGTGTCCCGCGTCCATGACATCAACACTGACGGTCAGGCGGAGGGGCTCGGCTGAGGAGAATTGTCCACCTCCCGTGAACTCCTGCGTGTCCCGCGTCCATGACATCAACACTGACGGTCAGGCGGAGGGGCTCGGCTGAGGAGAATTGTCCACCTCCCGTGAACTCCTGCATGTCCCGCGTCCATGACATCAACACTGACGGTCAGGCGGAGGGGCTCGGCTGAGGTGAATTGTCCACCTCCCGTGAACTCCTGCGTGTCCCGCGTCCATGACATCAACACTGACGGTCAGGCGGAGGGGCTCGGCTGAGGAGAATTGTCCACCTCCCGTGAACTCCTGCGTGTCCCGCGTCCATGACATCAACACTGACGGTCAGGCGGAGGGGCTCGGCTGAGGAGAATTGTCCACCTCCCGTGAACTCCTGCATGTCCCGCGTCCATGACATCAACACTGACGGTCAGGCGGAGGGGCTCGGCTGAGGTGAATTGTCCACCTCCCGTGAACTCCTGCGTGTCCCGCGTCCATGACATCAACACTGACGGTCAGGCGGAGGGCTCGGCTGAGGAGAATTGTCCACCTCCCGTGAACTCCTGCGTGTCCCGCGTCCATGACATCAACACTGACGGTCAGGCGGAGGGGCTCGGCTGAAGTGAATTGTCCACCTCCCCCCCCCCCCGCGAACTCCTGCGTGTCCCGCGTCCATAACACCAACACTGACGGCCAGGCGGAGGGTGTCACGTGCAAGGGACATGACCAGCACAAGTCACGCAGGGTGTGTGGGTACGACCGTCCACGACAGGTATTCAGCCTCTCGCGCCTCACAATATCGACTCGAGCCTCGTCGTCCCCATTGCAATCGCCCACACCTATATCCGGTCAGGGAGAAAACCTTCAATCAAGCGTTCGGGCCTCGTCGTCCCCATTGCAATCGCCCCACACCTATATCCGGTCAGGGAGAAGGCCTTCAATCAAGCGCCATGTCTCCGCACAGAGTGCACGCACGTACGTCGAGAAGAACGCCTTTGAAGTCATTTTGAACCCCTAAGGAGCGACACGCTTCGGGAAGGCCGCCACCCACGGCGCGCCGCCGCTTCCTGGAGCTCGCTGAGCCGCCGCTCACCACGGCTCGACGCGGGCGGCGGCGGCCGCCGGTGCCTGACCGACCCGGCTTTCAGCCCACAGCGCAGTATGCTCGGAATAGCGCGCCGCCGCCACGCAGGCCGGCCCGGAAATTAACGCGCACCTGACCTTTGCAGGGAGCGGTGAGTAACGAGCAAGTCGTCGGCTGGCGCGGCCGCTCGCCACCAGAGCCGACGTTCCACCAATTTGGCGCTCCCCACCCGCAGCCGGGGAGTAGCCGAGAAGCACCGCTGCGGCCCCACTAGCGTGTGACCTTCTCGGCATGCCCGTGGCTGGCAGGTGTGTAGTAAGTTAATGGTGCAAATGCTGGTTCGCTTGGTGCCACAAGTGAAAATGGCACAGGCCAGCCTGACGTGCGGCTGTAAACGTGTTTTTTATTGGATAAAGGGAGTGTTTCACATTGGCAGTGCGTTTTAAACTGAAACAGCCATTCTGACGATCGTTCGGCGCAGTTGACAGCCCTGCCCATCTTAAGACCTAAACACCTCCAGTTTCTGAGATACACGCCCGCGAAGATGTGCGTACTTTTCGGGGAACTATTTCAAGGTCACCCAGGCATCCCTGACGCCATAATAATGTCATTTAAATATCGCCATTCCCTTAGTCATACGGCGATCGAGGCCAAACGAATGTAATTGTCAAGTCGTTCATATCTGGCGTTAGTGAGACCGGTTTCCGGATACAACGGCCATCAGCTAGCTCTCAATCACTGTGCAAGGTTCGATGACACAATGAAACGATGACATATTCAGGGGCATATCTACTAGACAGAGAAATTCCGTTGTCTGGAGCATTGTTTTACAGTTAAAAGCATATCAGTGGTAATAGGTGAGCTTATTTCATCATATCTAATGCTTGCTTCAATATCTTTCAACGTGGAAGATTCCCTTCAATTGCTTCTAAGTATTTACCACTGTTCAGTGACAGCGAAACATCAAGGAGTATACCATCACGACTGAAGAGCGAGCTATCACGTCCGGCTGGAACACACTAATCTTGCGGCCCACGACCTTGGCTGCCTCCCACCGCATCCAGAGCCGCGGTCGGACGTTCCCCGAGTGGGTTACGGTAGGGTACCGTTCACCGCTCCCGCTCCTCCGGGGCTGTGCCGGTCCCGGCACGGCCCCATTCCCCGGCGCCGGCCGCGTCCGGTTGAGCGCGCGGTGGTGCGGCCCGGCACCAGTCCTTGGAGCGACGGCCTGGGGGCTGCCCAGACGATGGCCAGGTCCGTGACGAAGCACGTCAGGGGGTTCGCTTCATACGTGCATCAACAAGCGCCGTGACCAGAACCATCAACGGACGTAATCAGTAATTGGCACCACGGCGCCTTTGACGGAATCCAACCGGGAACGGTGCCAGCGGGAGCCGGCCCGGGCGCCGGCGGGTGGGAGACAGTCCGCAGGCCTGGCTCGGTGGGCTGTGCCTCAACTGTCAGCTGGGGCGGCGACAGAGCCATTGCAGCTACACGCTCTGCAGGCCACCCGGTCTCTGCCCTCTCTGGCTCGGCTACATAACGCAGGTCCACACCGCCAATCAATTCAATTTCCGTTGGTGGCCGGCGCGGTCCGGCCTCCCTCTCTCTCTCCTGCTGTCAGGCAGAGGCTCCGGGCCTCCGGCCAGACGCCGATGATGGCACAATGCGCTCGCGAAGGCATCTTTCGTCCACCCCACGGCGGCGGTGGCCTGTGCCACTATCGCAGAGCACGCACAGCTCACTGCCGGTGCGAACAGGGTCGTTGCCATCGCGCCGCAGTTCTTACGTAAGTGATTTGTGTGCCCACTTAGACGGCTGTCCGTAAAACCCCGTGAAGTGCCACAAGCGCAGCGATCAATTTCTCCATGCCAAAACACTGTTTGCAGCCTGGGCGATGCTGCGTGGCACTGCACACCAGGAACGCTCATTAAAACGCATTTCAACTGTCATCCGATGCCTACAATCAATCACGACTAACAAGATCTGGCGCGCCTATCAACGTGCCGCGGCTATTAATCCAACATCAAAAGGAGCACGGAAATGCCGCGCGGTTATACTTCAACAAACCCCATCTATATTTTATGCACACGAGTGCATGGCTTCTACGGTGATGACCTTCGGTACAGATTGATAACCAAAGCGACACACTGCCTGTAGTATTAAGGAGGGGACCCTTGAGCTTAATACATGGAGGAGATACGAAATAGTGTATGTTATAGTTGCGGATGCAGTGATACGAACGCTACATCATCGACACAAGCCTGTGAGCTACCGCACGCCGCACTCAAATTAGCGCAGTCAGTGTCCATCCTATTCCGCTGGGCTCCACTTCACTTTTGGACACATAGCACCTGCTCTATTACATTTTCTTCGCAACCGGTGCAGGCATCGTCACCTCCTAACGGTAGCCAAGTGCTTGGGCGCTGCCCTCGAGCCGGCAAGGTGAGGCGCTCATCGGAGCTGGCACTGAATTTCAAAGCACTCAATGAAAGCCAACGGATCGCCCGACGCCGTCCAGCTTAACATGAATAGTAATCCAAGCAAATGCGCCATCAATCGGCACATTCCGCGAACACGTGCACAACACCAAATCCATTGCCTCCTGTTGAGCCCCTCCCGCGCTTACCCAGCCCCACCGGCGCCTGCCCAGCGCTCAAGCGGCCCACCGAGCTCCACCTCGGCCTGCCCAGCTCCAAACCAGCCCTGCTGAGCTCCAAGCCAGCTCTGTCGAGCTCCCAGCCAGCTCTGTCGAGCTCCAAGCCAGTTCTGTTGAGCTCCAAGCCAGCTCTGTCGAGCTCCAAGCCAGCTCTGTCGAGCTCCAAGCCAGGTCTGCCGAACCCCAAGCCAGGTCTGTCGAGCTCAAAGCGTCGACTAAAGAGCGTGATGAACGCAAAATGAGTACTCCGTCAAGCCCTAGCCTGACAGACATTTGTCAAATAATATACTGGAGAGGACATTGCCAGCTTTTAGGCCTAGGTTACAGTTAACGCGCAATCAAGAGTCAAAAATATACGACGAAAAGACCGCATTTTCTTTCTCTAGCTACCCATCATTCCAGATCCAGCGTCATTAAATATTAGCACGCAAAATTAAGCAATGCGCATGTGTTAGGCCGCCCGACTCATTCTGGGCCTTGCATTTCAGAAGCTATGCTAGACGTCACATGGGCGAGTTCAGGACACATGCCCAGTCACCATGTCATCATGAGCCCATGATTGATATGATACATGAGCCCAGCC